CTCTCTCTCTCTCTCTCTCTCTCTCTCTCTCTCATAATCAAACAGTTGTAAAAACTAAGTTTTAATTTGCGGATAAAATAAAACACTCAATAGTATTGAGTCAATACGGGAGTCAATTAATGATTGTGTAAATACAGTATAATTCAGGTATTGTTTACGCCTTTAAATACAGTTAACAAAATTTAAAAGACGTCAAAAATTAATCAAATGATTGTGTGTATGTTTTTGACCCTAAAATCTGAAAGGATTTTTATTTTTTATATAATTTTGGTTAACTTTGTTGGCGACGCCTCAACATTTTGAATCCGTTATAAACATTTTGGTTTGAATTATATTTAGATTTTCTCAGTTAACGAAATACTAATCGATAGAAAATGTTTGCGAAAATAAAGTCTTGGAAATCTATTTTGTGTTTTGAAAAATTGAAAGCAAAGGCAAATATAAGGTTGAAATGAAGCATAAATTGTATGCAACACAAGACGAAAATGAAAAAATTGATAAAATGTATATTTCTATTAATAGAGAAGTGAATCGATATAGAGATGGGAAATGAGATTATCATCTTACGGTGACTGTCGTGAAGGCAATAATAGTGGCACCGGTGGGTCCGGCGTCATGGGTTCGCCGCCAAACCTCTATTAATTTGGGTTTTGTGGGACAGCCGTCAAAGTCGGTGAGTTGTAGTAATGCGGGTCCGTTACTCTCTGCCACTTGCGGGTCATCGTAGGCTATTTATCATTGTTTCAATGCAATTAAAGTCACATTAATTATAAGTTTACTATAAGAGGGGAAGGGATGGCAAAGTTTCTACACATACCGTAACAATCCTTTACGCGTAAATCAGTCCTCTTTCGGGGGTCTCTCACAAAAATAGCTAAAGTCAAAGGACTGCCCACTTTGACCGCATTGTCGATAGGACTGGTCAATGGGAACCGACCCTTCGTTATTTCCATCCAACAGTCGACTCGTGTCTGCTCGCCGTCCGCTTCTCTCACCGGAATCTATGCAAACAAACAGTGAACTCAATGTTTGGTCTCAAAGTGCGGCCAATGGGAGACATACGCTGACGACGTCCAACATGTCGATCACGACCGGCTTGAAGACCACGCGTTTCTCTTTGAGCTCGAAGTCGTCGTCGAGTGTATACCTGCACACAATCATTCTAGCATGGTCAAACACCTCCTGATACGTCGGGTCGTTTTGAAACACCACTATATTCTCGAAGCCCCTCTTCGGTGGTGTGCCGTCTTCGCCGTCGATGTCTTGCGTTTTTGTGCCGCACTTATCGACCGGAATGGAGAACTCGGCGTTAGTGGCCGACTGGTCCGGTTGCACGTACCTAACCAACACATTATTTGCACCATTAATATACATGTTATCTGTGTTTTACTTACTATTTGCAATTATATTATAAACCGGTGTTTAACTTATTTGTTTAGATAATAATTTAGAGTTTGACTTTTTTGAAATGCTTTCATTAAATTCATTTAATTAGATATTTTGATTAGATATTTGGCACAATATTTTTCATATAACACTTTTGTATAACTTTTTATAATAGTCCTAAGGAGTGGTTTTGCCGAAACAAACTAAACTATTAATTATGATAGATATAACAACAAATAAAACAAATAACAAACAAAAACAATAACCATTTCATCTGATAATAACAATTAATCCCTAAATTATGTGTTTTAAAGATTAAATCAAAGCAAAGTTTTTTGTCGTAATTTCGTAACCGATAGCATAAGACTCGCTGTGAAAAGTGTGGCTAAACTGATGAGAGCTATACTCGAAACAAATAGACTGAGAGCTGAGAAACAGATTTTGCGATTGTCTTGTTGTGTAGGCTTTTGCCAGAAATGTAAGTCCTGGTCATCGATGTCTTCAAGCGGTGATATAATACTAATTGAATCAATCATTGCATTAAATGTAGCGTTTGTTATGCCATCGGCTATAAGTAATGAACGTTTTGACCGTCGGTTCGTTCGAGAAGTTGTCGTCAATTTTTGACTCTTTTTTGTTTTACTACTATTTCTTGTCTTTGATTTCTGTTTAGGTCTTTGTCTGGCGTTTAGTTTTGCATTATTTCGTCTATTCGATGGTTTGGGCCCTAAAATGCATTATTTGTTTCAATTAATTCTAAAAATTATCCCAAATAATGACAATTACTTGGATTTTTTGCCACAACTGTTGGCACACGAATAGAAAGGGCAGCGCTTTTATCCTCCTCTTCGTCTTCGTTGGCCGCAGACTCTGATGGAGGAGTTGTTGAGCTCTTGTCGTTAGAATTAGGTTCCATTTCTGTGTCTTTATCTGATTCTTCTTTGTCTGTTTCGGTCGTCTTTTCAGTTGTAGTCTTATGTTTGTCACTACCGGTGCTCTCACTCTCTGAATCTTTATCATCGGAGTCATCGTCAGAGTCCTCTGTATTGGATTCAGTGGTCGAGTCGATGGTCGGAGTAGTGCTCTCTTCCTCAACAGGCCGTTCAACACTAGAGGGTGTAGTGAATGGTCGGGCGCTCGACTGGTCGTCACCGCCTTCACCGCCGGCGACCTCCACTTCGGGCTGACACGGGTTATCGCAACCGCCTTTGCATACCTCCACATTACACGCCAGGAATACATCCATAGCTTCGGGAAATTTAAAAGCGTTGACCACTCCGTAGGCTATAATAGTTGCGCCCGAATTGCGGACATCTCTCGTCCGATAGAAACCGCGGATCAGTTTCTCTTTGACAACACAACCCCTCGTATCAGTCAATTGTATTGCTCTGACGCCGGGATTATTATACTGTGGGCTGTCGTAAGCGTAACAGTCTTTCACTTGAACGTCAAACGTCGAGTCCCGGTCTTTGATGTATATAACAATAGTGATTGTTTGACCGATGGGTACAATGCCTGTGATGGGGGGCGCGAAGGGTCCGCCACCCCTCTGTATTTCCATCCAACAGTCAACGGTATCGCCGGGAAATGTGAGCTCTTTCACGTTCAACACGTCGACACCAAACGGAGCAAAAGTCACGTACTTATCAATCCTTGTGACCCAATCGCAGCTTATTTTACGGGCCATATCCCACACCTCTTGATATTCGGGATCATTTTGTATGATAATTACATTTTTAAACCCCAACGAACCGTCTCTTCTGAGACTTGTCTGAACTGTTCCGCAATTTGTTGACGGAATGAAAAATGCGATACTAGTCCTCGAACTCCTTGGGGTTAGGTATCTATTGTTGGGTCAGTTATCGCCGTTTAGTTCGAGATTTTAGATTAATTTTAGGCTATTTTCTATTATAACATTTAGATTTTAGTTTTAATTTTTTAACCACAATTCCACCTTGGCAATACTTTATTCTTTTTGTAAAATGTAGCTAGTTTACTATTAAATAAATACTGTGGGCTAATATTATTCACGTGTTTTTATTAAATGATAATCATATGGGATTGCCTTTGAGTTGTTAGCTATCGGTTGTTTCAGCACTCGGTTTATTTGAATCAATGGGTTATTTGAATTATATATGGAAATGAGTTTAGAAAAAGATTATTTTAACAAAAATAATATGTAAATAATGAATATAATAAACTAGGTAATATAATAATAGTTGCATATAAGGTCTAACCGGCATCCGAGGTCCGCATAGTGTCCTTTCGAGAAGATTATGCCATTAAAAGGAGTGTCAAAATTGACGGCAACTCTCATTCCCGTGCGATCGCACTGTACGTTGAGTGACGATATTTGGGGCACAACTCCCACCGTATACTCCATAAGCCATAACTATGTGTTTTATTGATCAAATATTTTAAT